GGGGGGATCTAGTGGCCTGTTACAAACTAGTCCAAGGGGACCAGCAGGCACTGGGGGAGTCCCTGTTCCCCCAAGCACGACCAGGAGTGACCAGGAATAACGGTCACAAGCTGGCAGAGGGGAGATTCAGACTAGACATCAGGAGGTGCGACTTCACGGTCAGGGCGGCTAGGATCTGGAACCGACTTCCAAGAGAGGTGGTGCTGGCTCCTACCTGGGGGTCTTTAAGACAAGGCTTGACAATCACCTTGCCGGGATTGTTTGACCCCAGTACTCTTTCCTGCCATGGCAGGGGGTCGGACTCGATGATCTGCTCAGGTCCCTTCCGACCCTGCTAACTATGAAACTATGAAAGAGCTGTCAGTACCAAATGCCTCGGAAGAAGGTATAGAGAAACTTGTAATGCCCAGCTATGGGGTAATTTGGATTTACAGGTTGTAAGGGTGATCTTGTGTTCAGTATATGAGGCTTTGTCTCCCTCTCACAGTTTACCTTATCTAGTGTTATGGAGGTGTGTGTTTTATTATCCATTCACCTATCACATGTCTCTCTGAGCCCTGCTGAAATCTTGAAATTCCAGAGAGTCTGGATGGGTCCAATCCACGTGTTGTGAAATCATCTTCATACTCTCACCCCCAGGTTATATGTAGCATCCTACCTTGATCGCTAATGGTTGCTTCTGGCATGGGTATTTTGGAAGGAGGAATCAAGCCAGCTCTGGATTTCTTTCCCTGTCCTGAGTGCGATGTGCACTCAACAGCCTATAATATATAGACACTAGATTGTAGAAAGATACCTGGACAATCTGTGCCTTTATCCCAACTAAGGGGAACAGAGTCTTGTGTACAAGCCTCTTGGAAGTCTTTCTCCTCACCACAGTATCAGGTGCCCCAGTCCCCTTCACTGAGCTTCCCCAGTACCCCTGAGTAAGAGAAGTATTGTCGGCCCTGCTTTTTCCAGGGGGAAAATGAGGCAAGAGGGATTAAGTGCATTGCCCGAGGATGTACAGAGGAATCTATAGCACATCCCGAGGACTGATGACAGATCCCCCATGCCCCCAGCCTAGCATCACAACCACAAGGCCTCCTACCTTGTTGTTGTCTTGATTGTGCTGCCACTGTGGGTAGAGCCCTTGGGATCTCCTTTCTCTCACAGGTCAGCAGAGGGTCTGGATTTGGACTCGGGCACCTGAGGTCAGGACCTGGTCCAGCCCCCAACCTCCTGCAGATCACCAGTCTTGCTGGTGGCTCTTGCACCTTGCGTTTGGGTAGGGCCCTGACTAGCAGCAGCCCTGTAGCACTGTGTTTTTCTTCTTTTAACGATTAGTGTCAGATCCACAGTCCAGCGCCATTGATTTCTGTGGCACTGGCAACAAGGAGCAACCTCCTTTCTGCAGCATCCTGCCTCCTGGCCTGCAGCTGATCGTGGTAGCAGGGGGTATTGATTTACTAATTGAGCGATGATTTCACCTGATTGCTAATAAAGTGTTGTACAGCCTTCCCCGCTGAGCTGAAACTCAGCCTGACAGCTACTGGTGGATTACTTGCCCTTAGCAGCAAATAGTTTTCTGTTGTTAAGTAAACTGATCTGTTGCCTGGTAACCCTAAGATGACTGTAGTAAATGCTTGGAGATGTAACGAAAGCGACAGTCAGAAACTTCATCAAGTCACAGAGGAGACTTTGTGAAGAAGGGAAAAGATCGGGCCTATGCCAGCAAAGCAGCGTTGGTCAGGAATAAGGAAGAAACAATACAGCGCTAAACCAGCAAAACCCCACGTGCCGATGCAGGCTAAACCCCTGCAAAAACGCATCTTGCTGGCTGTGCGGCAAAAGGGAGGTGGTTTAATGAGACCCGCAGACTTGTCTGGCCTGGTCTAAGGTGCGTCTCCACTAGAGGGCTTTGCTGGTCTAGCATTAATGGCAAAGTCTTCGCTGTTCAGACTTGCCATACACAACACCTGGGGTGGATCGGTCTCTCTTTTCTGGCTCAGTTTCTGGGGTCCTCTTGCCTAGGCTTCTCCATCATGGACCTTGGATCACACAGGGGCCACAGCAGGGTAGGAGTAGGAGTGGAGACGGGAATGGAGCAGCCATTTGAGCCTCACCTTTGAACTTAACCCTTACTTTTGCAAAGCTCCTCTTAGGTACTATTCCCCAAGCCCTCTCCCTTCCTTTTTTTCCTGCTGTAAAACTGCGGGAGGCAGGGGAGCTCAGTTCATGGTAGAGCAGAGAAGAGGAGAGGAACTGAGCCGTCAGGCCATCCTGCTTCCTTGCCCGGTCGTATGTGATTTACTGTCACCCCCTGTTCTCTATGCCCACCTGCCACTCTGACTGTTTCTGACCCACGTTTGTGGCATCTCCTGGGCAGGGTGGGGCTTTTACTTTTCCAGTGACTCGCCAAGCACGTTTCTAGACACTTGGCAGATCAGATCATGCAAAATACAAGGTGAAGGCCTTCAGCCTTGTGAGGCTTCATGGCCTACCCATGCACTGAATGCATATTTGTGCCAAGGTGTACAGAGAGTTTTGATTGTATGCTATCACCCCAGCAAGATGAGTAGATCTGTTCCCACCCACCTTTTTGGAGGGCTTGGGATCTGCTCTATCTGTTTGTTATTTATGGTGCAGTAGGGCCTGCAGGCACTGACTCGTGTCAGGGTCCCATCGTGCTAGGTTCTGTACAAACAGAGCAAAGGGTGCTTTCTGCACTGAACAGCTCCCGGTCTCCATAGACAAGACAGAGAGGTGGTGGGAGGAGAAACGGAGGGGCAGAGAGAGGATGCGGCGTAGCCAAGGTCACAGAGCAGGCCGGTGGCAGGATCTGTGGAGAGAAAGTGCTGAGTGCGCTTGTATATTTATACACAGCAGGTTAGAGTTGCTGGACGATCCATTTTGGAAGTTAGCGGCGAGGCAGGATGCTGTTGCCTTTGCAACAGTCAGTCTGCGGAGAGGAAGCCCACGAGATGGGGAGGGAGGGCCGAGGGTGGCTGGCAGGCTCCTGTCAGAAAGGACTGTTTTGTTTTTGTTCCTTTTTTTTTCTTTCTTTTAAAGCACAGGGTTTAGCTCTGTTGAAACAAAAATGTTTCTGTTGCTCTGTGGCTTTCAACTGGGGCTCATATCATTTGCAAAGTGCTGTGTCATAGGCTTCATCAGCTCCCCCCACCACCACCAGAGCATTTGTACAGAACAAAGCCTCCTTTTTAAAAGTGGCAGGGTATTTTCCCACCTATTTTAACAAAGCGGTCATAATAATACCTACTTTTGCACCAGACAGTTTCAAAACCAGCCTCGAGGAAAGGAAGCCGCATTTCTGCTAATGTGCAAAATGTCCCTTTCCCGGCCGAGAGGTAAGCAATCCCACCCAGCTGTGTTCCAGAGGGAAAGAAAGCTAACCCCCCTCTCTTTGCTCTCCTCTGCCCAGGCCCGACCTTCACAAGAGGACCCAAGGCAAGCGCCGCCTTGCTGAAATCTTGCGCTCTGAATATTCAAGTGGGATGGACTCTAATGTATCCAAGGTCAAGAGGAAGAAAAGACACAGAAAACCTGGCAACCAGGAAACGCTGAGCTGAACTGGGAGTTTCCAATCCTCTGCTACAAAAACTGGTTCCAGAGAACGCCGGGGACAGAGTGACATGTAAAGCAAACTGACGAGCATCGGGATTTAGCAGAGAATTGTTCAAAGGCTTAAAGCCTTGGGGAGCTGAGCCTTACAGGATGAATGGGACTGAATTCAGACACGTCCTGTTCTCAGCAAAGAATGCTCCGTTCCAATTAAATGCAGCTTCCCGGAGATGCGCTAAGTTTCCAAGTTCTGCGGTTTTAACTCCGTGACAATTTGCTTTTGTTAGGAAAATTTCAGAGAGGTGAGCTGCAGCGTAGAGGGCAACATACGAGCGCCCTGCCAATAAGTGCACTTCACCTGGGTTGAGAAAGGAACTGAATTCACAGGAGTGATTGTTTTAAAAGCCTATAGGGACTAATGCCTCTTTTTTTAACCACAGAAAGTTAAATTAACTCAGTGAGTGTTCGCCCCAAGGGCCAGGTATAACCACTCGTCCTCTGTAGGGACCTGTTCATTTCACTCTGGCTCTCCAGAGAGGCAAATGCTGCTCAGTGTGAGCAGAGGTAGCGAAGTCTGACCCTTGTTTGCTTAGTCTGCGTTTAACAAGCATGGGACCCTTTGTCAGCCCTGTAGTGTCAGTGGTGTGGGGGCCGTACCTTGATGGCGCTCAAGGTAATGGCAAAGCTCCCATTTACTTGGGAGAAGGATTTGTTCCTGTCTGTAACCAGACACAGGCCACATGATACAGTTGTGAGTGAGTCCTTGCTCAAGCAATCTTTAAAAGTAGGACTGGGCCCGAGTCATTGAGGATGGAGCTGTTCTGTGTTGCAAAAAGCATCTCCCATCTCAGCACACTGAAGGCTTTGCAGAGTATTTCTAATGCTTGCCAATAATCCATCATTTTGGAAAGGCGTTACTCCCTCTGAGAAGTGTAGTTAATCAACCCTTACTGCAGCTCTTTTTAAATATCCATTCCCCCTTTCAGAGCCTTTTCTGGCCTAGTTGACATTTCTCTCTGTTTCTTCCCTGTTTTTTGCCTTTGAAGCAGGAAGACATCAGTAGCTTGGGCTTTTTCCTTTCTTCATTCCCAGTCAGGTCCTGGTAGGGCTGGGAGTGCTATGGTGTGCTCCAAGCCAGGCTGTATTTGGGCCTCATTCATCATTACCCTGCACGCAGGCTGGAGCCCGCTTAGCCTCAGTGGAGTTGTACACAGCTTCCCTGCTTTTAATAAGGCCACATATGAAAGCCCACCCCACTGTCAGCTCCGAGTACCAGGCTCACCTCAATCTGTCTTCTCCACTATAACCACTGAGCATCAGATATGCCTAAAAGGGGGGAAAAAAGCCCTGCCCAGTGTACATACAGCCCTCCCTCTTGAGAGAAGACCAGAGCAGGAACAAACTGCACGTGTGACGCATGCTGGTTACATCCCCGAGTGCCCAGGCGGATACGGTGGTAGTTCAGAGCGGTATAAGAGCTTATGTGGACTAGGAGGCACAGCCTGGCAGAGGGGGCTGTAAGATGTTTGCATATCAGATTGCAGCGATACAAGTGATGGAACATGGCATTAGGCAAGAAGGAGTCAGGCCATACAGTGCAGAAAAAGAGCAGCCAATCCAAAAGATTTCTCAACTGGGTATAACTCTGGAGAACCAGAGTGCGTCTGCCTTTTTCCCTCCCAGGCAATTACTGAACTGCAACTTCCTGGCTTCATGTGTTTCGTGGCAGGAGAGGGTTTTTTTGGACGCTTGAAAAAGACGAATTTAAAAGGGCCTCAGCTATAAAACAAACCAAGTGATGGGCAGAGAGTACAAGGGACTGATGAGATGAAAATTAAATAAAAAGTGTTATTATTATTATTATTTGGTAGGGCAATACAGTTTAAGGCAAATGTCAACTTAAAAAAAGACCCCGAGGATGAAAATGAGTCAGAGAATGTGATGCCGAGAGGATAAGCTTGGGAAGAATTGATCTTGTGCAGGAGGTAAAAAAAAAAAAAAAAAA